TATCCCAGGTTTCCTGGCTTGAGTCCTTCACAAAAACAAGGCTATTTGGAACAAGCAGCAACCAGTGCCTTCCCAGCTCAACTCTGGCTGAAGGGTGGCTGCTTTGTGAACCCCTTCCTGCCCCTGGCATGTCAGGTGCTGGGTCTCTAGGTCCAGAGCTGAAGGAGGAAGCCCTAGAGCCCTCATCCATTTCTTTTACTCTTACACCTGATTATACTGGTTAGTATCCACTTCCATTCAGAGTGACAGAAAAACTCAAAATAAGAGTAACTTAGTAAGGAAGTACTCAAAAACATGAGAAGAACAAACCACCTGGCTTAAAAGGGCTCCTACTGGCTAAATCTGTACATCAGAGTAAGTAATGATAGTCATAGATTATAATCAACTGAATAAAATAAGAATTCATGAGTCCATATTTATATATATAAATAAAGGAGAAGGAAAAGCCTCTCCTTACACTTGAATGCCAAACTTGTAAATGTAGAAAGGATGATGGAGTTTGCCAATCATCATTTGGCAACCAGGATAATGATAATAATTCATTCAGACAATAATCATCAATGGATGCTAAAACTGGTGGATACAGGATATTTATGTAGTCTCAAAGAATCTCTCCATAAGATACTGCTTAATTACAAAGGGGAAAATGTTCACTTTATGATGAGAAGTTGGCCAACCCATTAACCAAGTGATCAAAGTTATAGTCCCCAGCCACAGGACTATACACCTCCTTATGCACTGAAAGAGATACAACACCACTTCTCTGGCATTTCTGCCATACTAATAATAAGGGTAACAACAATATCAGTGACTTAAACAAGATGAAAGTCTATTTGTCTCTCACATAAAAACCCAGGGCTTCTGAGTGCTTCACATTGTTAGGTTTCCAGTTTCCCTCTGTCTTGTTTCTCTGCCATGTGTGGCCTTGACCTCCTAGACCAAGATGCCAGCAGCCACATTGCAGATCACAGGACAGGGTAAATGATGAAGAATAAATAGCAGAGTCCAGGTTTACCACATCTTAAGGAAGGCTTCCGAAGCTGATACGACACTTCTGCTCAAATCCCTTTGGTCAGAACTCACTCACTTGGCCACACAAAGCTACAAAGGGGACTAGGAAATGTAGTCTTTGTTTAAGGCAGCCTTGCCCAGCTAAATGGAGCCAAGCTAAAAAAAAATCTATTACTATGAAGAAGTTAAGGGGCATACTGGGCACGAGAGAACAATTAACAATCTCTGGAACACTGGCGTTCTTTTGTTTCAAGATGACATGTTTCTACACCTCTGGTTCTTTTTATTAAGATCTCAATTCATGACACCCCACACACTTATTGCACATATAACATGCCCACATGTGCAGGATCTCAGAGCTCAAGTCTTGCAGTCCTTGATCTCCACACGAGCCTGGGCCCATCTCACTTCCGTGCTTATACACAACTGTATGTCTTCATAGCTTTTCTCATAAGTAGAGGCAGTTGCCTACGAAAACTTCTCCATGACCTCTGTGCTGCCAAAGCTGAGATGACCAGAATGGCCAACTTTTGTTCCTTTCCTTTCTAGATAAGCAGTTAAAATGCCTCTGGTAAACAACCATGTTCCCTGAGCTTGAGTTTTTTCTGAGTTCTAGGAAAAAGAATAAATGCAGGGTTTTTGAGATTAAATGGAGTCGCAAGATAAGCAGCATTTCTCAGCAAGGAGCCAAGAATGCATTAGGATAAGATAGGCTGAACTTACGGGCAAAGGGCAAAAGCGCTGTGGAGGTTTCATCCTTCTCTTCCCCACCTCCCCCACAGCCCCTTCAAACTCCAGCTCCACCCCCATAAGGATGAGGGAGTTAGAAATAGGTCAGGAAGAGACCGGGAAATGTATATCCTTTTGAGCCTATGAAATGCTTCTGCTGGCATCTCTCCAAGTCTGGCGTGGCCTTGATACTTGATTCCTATGATGTGGTGGAGGGGGATAGGTAGGAAGTGGGGGGTACCACACAGATAATAAATCTCCTGTGTCTTCTGTTTTCATATTCATGTTACTTTGGGACCACAGGGGCCATGACTTAGAAATGGAGTTGGGTTTTTGCGTAATTAGCCACAACACACAGGTTTTCCTTCTGCTGGGAATGGCTAGCCCTTCTTCTCTCCATCAGCCATCAGCCAACTATTCACTCTTAAGTCTCAGCTCACAGATCACCTCCATGAAGGCTTCCTGGACTTCTCCCAAGCCCAGTTAGATGTTCTTCTGGCACCCCTGTGAGATGACAGTGTGGGGTCCAGGTTAAGCTCAGGCTCTGGAATGTCAGTGCTTGGGCTCATAAGCCCAGCTCTCTACTTAATAGCTACTTTGAGAAAGTCTGTGCCTCAGTTTCCTCATGTGTAAAATGGAATTTCAAAATAATACTGTCCACATGAGCTATTGGGAGAATTCAGTGAGTTTTACATGTTTTACATGTGGCTGGCCTCATAACAGCATTATTCACAATAGCCCAAACACGAACACAACCAAGTGTCCATCAGTGGATGAATGGATAAACAAAATGTGGCATATCCATACGATGGTATATTACTCAAAACCTTGAAAAAGAAGGAAATCCTGACACAGTGCAACGTGAATAAACCTGAAGACATTACGCTAAGTGAAATAAGCCAGTCACAAATGGACAAATACTGTATGATTCCACTTATATGAGGTACTTAGGGTAGTCACATTCATAAAGACAAAGTAGAATGGCAGTTGCTGGGGGTGAGGGGAAGGGAGACCAGGAGTTACTGTCTAACAGGTACAGCATTTCAGTGCTGCATGATGAAACAGTTCTGTGGATGGATGGTCATGACTTGCAAGCCCGCCTCCCTGCCCCAAACAGAAGGTTCCTTCCTTTAGTCACAACGGAGTTTTCTTCTCTAAGGACTCCTTCCCCCATAGTCTTGACAGCGTATCACAGGTTCTGCCCACACGCTCTCTAGGGTAACGCATGAGAAGGGAAGTGAAGGAATGCTGGCAGAGATGTTATCACAGAAACTAGTCTATGCTAAAGAAGAGCCAAAGGGAAGCAGGGCCCCCTGCCCTTCCAAGCCGGGTGGGGAGACTTGGTGGAATGAGGGTACACTGGGTGAACAAGGAGTCAGAGCACCTGAGTTCTCACTCCAGCTCTGTCACCAGCTTGCTGTGTGTCTCTGGACAAGTCGCTTTCCCTCTTGGGACCTCTTTGTCCCTGACTATAAAAAATGGAGATTTGGCTGGGCTTGGTGGCTCATGCTTGTAATCCCAGCACTTTGGAAGGCTGAGGAGGACGGATCACTTGAGGTCAGAGGTTCAAGACCAGCCTGACCAACATGGTGAAACCCTGTCTGTACTAAAAATAAAAAAATTAGCCAAGTGTGTTGGTGCATGCCTGTAGTCCCAGCGACTTGGGAGGCTACAGCAAGACAATCGCTTGAACATGGGAGGCCGAAGTTGCAGTGAGCTGAGATTGCACCACTGCACTCCAGCCTGGGCAACAGAGTGTGACTCTGTCTCAAAACAAACAAACAAACAAAAAACCTGGAGATTAGACTGGGTAATTTTGAAAGACTGTCTCGGTCCTGACCCTCTCGGGGAATAACATCAATGGGTCAATTTGTGCAAAACCTTTTACTTTTTAAAGCACAAAAATTTGCTGAGCATGGTGGTACATGCCTGTAATCCCAGCTACTCAAAAGGCTGAGGCAGGAGAATCGCTTGAACCCAGAGGTAGAGCTTGCAGTGAGCGGAGATCGCACCATTGCACACCAGCTTGGGCAACAAGAGTGAAACTACACCTTTAAAAAAACATTTTCAGCCGGGCGCGGTGGCTCAAGCCTGTAATCCCAGCACTTTGGGAGGCCGAGACGGGCGGATCACGAGGTCAGGAGATCTTGAGACCATCCTGGGCTAAACACGGCTGAAAACCCTGTCCTACTAAAAAATACAAAAACTAGCGGGACGGTGGGGGCGTCTGCTTGTCCCAGCTACTGAGGGAGGGCTGAGGCAGGAGAGATATGGGGGTAACCCGGAAGGGCAGAGCTTGCAGTGAGCTGAGATCTGCCCACTGCCCTCCAGCCGCGGGCGACAGACAGCCAGACTCCTTCTCAAAAAAAAAAAAAAAAAAAAAAAACATTGTTTCACCTCCTGGGCCCCTTGAACACCCGTGGAAACCCACGTCTGCTCCTTCACGTACAAATACAAAAAATTAGCCAACGTGATTTTCCCCTTTTGCCTGGGCACCTGTCCCAGTCCCAGCTACTTTTTTTGTGTTGCGTCCCAGCCAGTGTGGACGACATGGGGCCTGAACCCCTTTTTTGTGAGAGGGTTTGAGCTTTTGCAGTGAACGGCGAGAGCGCGCCACCTTGCACTCCAGCCTGGCGACAGAAGCAAGGACTTGGCTGTTCCTTCAAGAAAAAAAAAAAAAGATAAAGAAAAGAAAAAGCACTTTCACATCAATGACTTCCTGCTGTTCTTAGGATGTTCCTGTAGATTATTAGATTAAATCTCATGGATAGGAATATGAGGCCCAGAGAAGTGAAACAATTAGTGACAGGGCTGAGAGTAGATCCCAGGTCTCCTGGCTCTTACCAAGGTTGCTGTGCCCAGGGTGTACCCATACAAAGGCACAGATTGGGGTTGAGGGAAAAAGGGAGGCTGACAGGTGCTCAGTAGTGTGACCCAATCAGCCTTAAGGAAGGGACACTTTTCTCTAATTGGTCTGCCCAGAAGAGGCACCTTGTTCTCACAGCCCTTCCACAGGGAGATGGAACAGCTCTTCTCAGTTAATCAGCTGAACACTCCTTTCTGCAATGTGTCTATCTGCAGGAGCACCTCTTCCTAATTTGCACAAAAGCACCTTATGTACGAGGAATACCCTTGATCCCTGGGCTGTTCCTCTTCTCACTTGGTGTCAGGTCCTGGGGTCCAGGTCCAGCCCATGCTGAAGTCTGAGGGGAGTGGGTACATGGACAGAAAGAACACTCGGGGCCCATAGGCAGGTGAATATGGTTTTATTCAGCAACAGCTCTCATCAACAGCTTACTCACACTAGCTCTCTCACACTGTCCGCCCTGTCTCGGCTGCTTGAGCCCAGGGCTCCCACACACAGCTGTGCAGCCTGCTCTCCCTTGCCTTCAGGGTCAGCAGCTTAACTCTTTCTCCCTCTGGGCATGAGCTAGCCGAACTGTGTCCTAGCTCCTTCCTGTCCATCTGCAAGATGGACAGCTTTGGCTCTCTCTCTTTCTCTGGGCGCCAGTGCGCCCACCATGTCAAGTCATGTTGGGCTGAGCCGAACCCCAAGAGCCCCTGTACAGCATTAGCAGGACAATTACCTTTTACAGACAACAGTGGCTCAGACCAAGTATGAACTTACACAAACAGGTTATATAACAAGTGGAGGTGTGTGCCTGTGCACCAAACCCGCTGAGTCATGCAGGCATGGATATCTGCCTTGGCATATTCCTTGACCAAAGCACATCCATGTACCTTACACTTGGGTCTGAAGTAGGGTTGCCAAATGAAATACAGGACACCCAGCTAAATTTGAATTTCAGGTGAACAACAAATCATTGTTTAGGATAAGCATGTTCCATGCAATTCTGGGGACATACTTAACCTTAAAAATTTGTTTCATTTATCTAAAATTCAGTGAACTGGGGCAGTCTGTATTTGTCAAATCTGCTGACCTTAGTCTAGAGGCAGTGGTATGTTCCAGCTGACTCCAATCAGCTCATGAGAGTCAACTGTAAAATGTTTAGGAGATTTATGAACTGGTTATTAAACCACTGGTGGCTTGAAATCCACCATGGTGGGAGTATTTACACCACAGAAACTGGTAACTGCTGCACATCAGTGCTTTTCCTTTACAGAGCTGATTATGAAACATTCCCCAATATACCACTGTCCAGAGGTTTCCTTGTTCTTAACATATTAGGTAGGCTCTGAAACCATGTCCCTGGGTGCTCCACAGTCACACAGGAGTCAGATTGCATCTAAGATAGCTGTAAAGCTTAGTAGACTAGAAAATGGAAAATTCCACTCCTAGGATCCTAGAATGAGGAATGTTGGAAACTTAGAATTCTAAAACAAGGATGTTAGAATCTCAGAGTTTCAGAAGATGAAATGTTAGTATTGAAATCAGAGGCTGTTAGTATCCATTCCTCACCCCTCTCTAGCATACAGATGGCCAAGGCCTCACAGCCTAACCAGACCTCTGGCTGGCCCTCCTGGCTCAGGGCCTAGGCTTCTTGCGAGCCACAATGAAGCAGACCCCAGAGCTGGCAGCATTGGTGACAGAGTAGCTCTGGGGATTCTGTAGGAGCTGTTCAATGTCAAAGCCAGCATCCAGGACAGCCTGCTCCACCTCCTCCTTCTCCAGGGCCACACAGGAAAATTCACACTTCCCCACCATGTAGGATGAGATCTGAAGCGTGACTGTGGTCACCAGGTGGCCACACGGCTTGAGCAGTGAGGCAAGGTTGCACAGTGCAGTGCGGTAGGCATCAAGGCTACAGCAGGCACACTCCATGGCCAGCAGGGTAAGCACACAGTCGGCGGGGGGCAACACAGCAGGGGCCAGCGGGTTGCCCAGGTGGACATCACACTTGAGCACCCGCTTCACTGCTGCCCGCAGCTTCTCCTCCTTCTCCTCCCAACGGCCGCTGCAGAGAGAGAGAGGGAGTCAGGGAGGCACTTCAAGGTTCTGAAGGGAACTCTCAGTCCACTGTGACCAGCAGATGGAGATGATCTCTGGATCCCCAAAGGATTGCTATCCCTGAGTCCCTGTGTGACCCGACAGCAGGCCCATATTCAATCTGAGCCTCAGTTTCCCCCAAAGAAAAATGATTAGGGAGAATGGGCCAGAAAAATTATAGGAACATTTCTCCCTCTGATTCCATGTGAGCCCCCTTCCCTTAATCCCCAGGAGGGACAAGGCCACCCCAAGCACAGATGGGGCAGCTAACACACATTATTGGATGGATGGATGGATGAATTAATGAATTTACTACAGATAATGTATGAATACAGCTATCTTAAAAAATTAATTTTGAGTGATGAAAAGCAAATCCCAAATGACACAGAGCAAATTACTCTACTCTAAAGCTCAAAGGTGACTAAAACTAAATTATAGATTATTTAGATATACATAAGTATGCAAGAAAAAATGTTTTGAAAAAGGGAATGATAAGCATAAAATTCATATTAGTGATTACCTTGGGTTAGGAAAGGCAGGGGCAAGGAGTCACAGAGAAGCACAGAAGTCTTTATTATAACCGAGTACTCAGGTTGGGTGGTGGGTTCATGTCATTATGCATTATATAGTCACACAGGTACAGACAATAGAGGGAAGAAGGAAAGATGGATGGATGGGTGGGTGGATGGATGAACATGGAGGGACACGGATAGATGGATGGATGGGTGAATGGCTGGCTGGCTGGATGAATGGATGGGTGAATGGCTGGCTGGCTGGATGAATGGATGGGTGAATGGCTGGATGGATGGATGAATGGGTGGGTGAATGGATGGATATGGATGGGTGGGTGGATGCATGAATGTGGATGGATGGATGGATGGATATGGATGGGTGGGTGGATGCATGAATATGGATGGATGGATGGATGGATGGATGGATGGATGGATGGATGGATGGATGGACTGGTGGGTGGATGGATGGATGGATAGTTAGATACATAGAAGATAGATAGGTAGATATATAGATGAGGGTAAGGAAGGAAGAGAAGAAGGAAGGAAAGGTTCTATCATCTGGTTTTCAGTGTTCATACTTGATTATATCACACCTCAACATAGTCCTGTGATCAGATACTTGCACCTAAAACTGCTGTAATCCTGAAACTTGGGGCCCCATCTACTCTGTCCCCACCACAGGACATCTGGTCCTGTACCTATAGGTCCTACTGTCCTGAAAATGCCAGAGACAAGCAAGAGGCCAGGGAGACTTCTGAGAAAGAAGGTTGACTGGGAACCCCCTCCACAACCTCTGCACCGCTACCTGTTTCCTTCCAGCTCACAGGCGAATTTCACCACCGGGGTCCAGTCATAGGCCCCCGGCTCCTTCTTCAGCCACTTTTCCAGCTCCTCCCGGTTGCGGTCAGTAAAGTCAGAGAGAGTGATGTCTCGGAAGGACTCACAGGCAGCGAGAACTTGGTAGATGGTAGGGCCTGAGCCAATGTCGATCAGTGTGTCCCCTTGAAGACCTCCTGTGGGAGGGAAAGACTGGTAATGGACGGGTAAGAGAAACGAGACCCAAGGCAGACACAGGGATGAGGACACACGCCCTGGTCTTACCCAAGGGGCAAACAGCACCAAGCATGGTGGTTATCACGGATTGGTGGTTCCCTGTAAGCCAAGCCTCATACCAAATATTTTATATGCATTAATTTCTACTTACACCTCAGAACTATCCTGTGTACTGACTACTATCACTATTTTCATTTTACAGATTAGAAAACTGAGTCTGAAAAAGGTTAAACAATTAGCCCAATATCTTTCCGTCAAGAACATAAGCCAAGAGTGTAATATTTCTGGGACAGAGAACAGAGGCCCAAGCCCTGCTCTGGGGAAGATTCGGGCTGGAGGGTTCAGAGGGGACATGCTGGGGGCAGTGGCTCTTTAAGTTTCAGGCTGACTGGGAGCTGGGAGCCTCCCCTGGAAGTCCGGCCCTTCCTGGATGGGTTCCTTGTTCCTTGGAGTGGGGAGGGGTGCAAGCATGCAGGAATAGGAAGCCGGGGCTGAGGAGATGATCTGGGAAGATGGCCCCAGGAGTGAATCCAGGGTCACCTGGAAGCTGGAATGAAGCATGACTTCCAACATTCTGTCTGGAGCCCTGGCGTGGGGCCATCACTTGGCCTTCCAAGCTTGGTCAGACCCAGTCCAGCTATTCTCTGATTTCTGCCTCCCGCATCAGCCTGCTCCTCCAGGCTCAGCAGTCTTTTAACCCCCTCTTACCCCCTAGACCACCAGGAGACTCACCCTTATTGTTCCGCAGTCAAGTGCCCAAAGTGAGGACATGGCTGCTTGAGTTTAGAAGACATGACCAAATCATGGGGTTACCGTGGGGAGGGCAATGATCACTGGGAGACAGGCAGAAGTCGCCATCAATTGCACAGATGGCTCAGTTGAGGTCCTTGGGGCCTGAGCGCCTTGCTGTCAGGTTTGTAACAGGGTTGAGACCCCACCTAGCAATCCTTGTCCCAGGGCAGGGCTTTTCCAGGTCCTCATCACAGACACATCTGGGCTGCACACTCTGGGCATAGGCGATCCCGACCCACTACAACTCCGCTGTTTGCCCTTGGCCTTCTGGAGGCCCCAGAGGCCTGGCTGTGCAAGGTTAGGACTGAACTTGATGATGACCTGGAGAGCCTTTTCTGCTCCACCCCAAAGACCTAGGGGCTAATGGAGAGCAGTGTGGGAACTCCACGGGGCTGTGCTCTTCCCATAGGTCCTGATCCCTCAGCTGGCACACAGCTCCTGAGCCGTGGGGAGACAGACCCAACTTCCAGTATAATAGCTGCCCAAAGAGAGGGGCAGGGCCCCAGCAGCTCCCTCAGCCCACCCCCAAAAACCCCTAGGGGAGACCAGACTGCCCCCAGGACACCTTATCCCCATCCCTATCCAGATTCCTTGGAGAGAGGCTCGAGGGGAAGGGTCACCCTCTGCTCACCAGGCCCGAAGGTCTTGTGGAGACATTCCAAGTTAAACTTCAGTATCTCAGCCTCGGGTGAGGGGCTGCCATCGAAGCTGTAGTAAGTGGCCAAGTAGTCCCTGGGCAGGAAGTGCTTCTGGTACTCATCACCCCCAGTGAAGCCACCCTCCATGGTGTCCCTGAAATGTGCCCTCTCCTGGCTGTCAGGTCTTATGAGGGCTCCAAGCTCTCCAGGCTCCACCCCCAGCATTCCAGCTTCATCCCATGGCTCCTCCCAAGTATGCCTCTCCTTGAGCTTCTCCTACGGGCATGCAGAAGGGAGTGCATTCTTCACCGCCTCCTAGTCACACTGACACACACGAGGTTTCCCCAACCCCAGCGCTATGATCGCTGGGGCTGCAGCTGCCCTGGCTCTGCTTCCTCTAGGGACCAATCCATGTCCGTCAAAGGCAATTGATAGTGCCCAGCCCTGGGTGCAACTCTCAGCCCCGCCAGCCACATGCTGCTGTGTGGCCTCCAGCAGGTGTCAGACCCATGTTTCCCCACCTGTGTGCCCACTTCACTGACTGTGAGGACCAAAATCCCTCCCCTAAGTCACAGGTGTTGTGGCCTGAGTGCACAGTGAGATCCCCATTTTGTCCCCTGGTGGTCAGTGGGGTCCAGTGGCTCTCTCTAGGCCAGGCAGTGGGTGCAGCTTCATGCATCCCCCATCCCTGCTGGAGAACACAGTTCAGACCCCAGGAGGCAGAGCAGAATGGCTGACTTGGCATCACTGTGCAGGTCACTGGGAGAAGAGCAGAAATTGTCATCAATCTCCATGAATGAGAACAAGGGCACCTGGTCATAAAGCATAAACTGTCAAAGGGGTCCTGGTTTCCTGGCTACTGACTCACCAGGCAACTCCGGGTAAGACACTCCTGGCCTCAGTCTTCTCTTTGAAATAGGACTGGGTTGTAAAATCTCCCACAGACAGAGAAAAGTCCAGTCTCTGTTTTTGGCATTAGGAAATGGCTCTGACTTGGCCACAAACCAGAGAGAAATGAATCTGCTACACTGGAGGTTCACACCTCTTACCCTGAAAGTGGGAAGGATAGGAATACCTTGTTCTGGCTTCAAGTCAACAAACAATTCTGAATTCACAGGGCCCAATAGACGGGGGATGCCACAGAGGCAGGGAACACCCAGCGGTCGTCAGGGCCTAGCTTCCAAGAGGCGGGTGCCTGGGCAGCCTCCAGGGAGGCTTGCAGCCGTCGTGCTGGCCTGCAGAAGGCATACGGAGCTGGCGGGAAACTGCAGGGCTCACGTTACATAATTGGAGGAGTGTACAATAAAGGCACGGTACTAAGTTGTGGGCAGGGTGGAAGGAAGACATATGGTACCTCTATTAGTCAGGGTTCTCCACAGAAACAGAACCCAGGATGTGTACACTGAGAGAACCAGATCTATTGTAAGGAATTGGCTCGTGTAATTGTGTAGGCCGGTAAGTCCAAACTCTGAAGGGTGGAACCAGGAAAAGCCAATGTTGCGGTTCAAGTCCAAAGACCAGCTGCTGCCAGAATTCCCTCTTGCTCGGGGAAGGCCAGTCTTTTGTTCTACTTGGGCCATCAGCTGGTTGGATGAAGCCCATCCACATTATGGAGGACAATCTGCTTTACTCAAAGTCCACAGATTTAAATGTGAATCTCATCCAAAAACACCCTCACACAAACAGCCAGGATCATGACTGACTACCTATTTGGGCACCATGGCCTAGCCAAGTTGACTCATAGAAAGCAACATCACAGAACCTGAGGGCTAGCAGTATGGAGGAGCCATCATCCCAGTGAGACTGAGACAGAGCTGTGCAGAGAGGGCCTCCTGTAGCAGCCAACAGCAAAGGAGCTGATATGGTTTGGCTGTGTCCCCACCCAGATCTCATCTTGGATTGTAGCTCCCATAATTCCCGCGTGTTGTAGGAGGGACCCAGTGGGAGGTAATTGAACCATGGGGACAGGTCTTTCCCATGCTCTTCTCATGATAGTGAATAAGTCTCATGAAATCTGATGGTTTTATAAGGGAGACTTTCCCCACACAAGCTCTCTTTTTGCCTGCTGACATCCATGTAAGACATGACTTGCTCCTCCTTGCCTTCAGCCATGATTGTGAGGCCTCCCCAGCCATGTGGAACAGTGAGTCCATTAAATCTCTTTCCTGCATAAATTACCCAGTCTTGGGTATGTCTTTATTAGCAGTATGAAAACGGACTAATAGAGTAGCTAAAGAATAAATACCCAGACCTCCTTCTCCTACCTCCCTCCAATATCCTGCCAAATTTAGAGGGAAGGGAGTGGTGACTGCAGTCCACATGTCAGCTTCCTGGCACTTGAAGTAGCCTGGGGAGGAGAGGATGGAGAGCAGAATGGAGAGGCACATGGAAGATGCCCAGCATTAACACTTAAGGAGTTGAACTGTGGACATGCATGTACTATTCAGGGATTACGCAGAGCCCCTGCAGCAGGACGTGGGCATCTAGGGAGTCTGTATAGGGCGGGAAGAGACCATCCTTCCCAGAACTACACATCCTGCTGCAATTGGATGTCCTTGGATGGATAGAGGATGCCCCTCCTAATGCAAGGCCTCCAGTGCCTCCTGCTGCCAGAGGAATGAGTCCAAACTCCCCCTTGGCAATCAGAGTCTCTACCCTCGGGCTTCCACCTGCTTCTCCACCACTCAGGCCTTCTCCATCCCTACATGCCTCATGACTCTGGCCTAGCCAAGAGTCCTAACAGCACTCGGGCAATCTGCTCAAAGTGAAGCCTCTTACAGATATATTCTAAGATCGAGTTTCTTAACCTCAGTGCTATTGACTCTTCAGACCAGATAATTCCTTGTTGGGGTGGGGGTGTGAAACTGTGTCACAGGATTTTTAGCAGCATCCCTGGCCTCTACCGCCTAGAAGCCAGTACACTCCGAAGTTACAACAACCAAAAATGTCCCCAGACATTGTCACATGTCCCCTGGGAGGCAAAACTGTCCCCAGTTGACAACCACTATCCTAAGGTTTGCTTTCATCAATGTGACAACACTTTGTTCATGAGAGGGCTAAGCTTTAGGCCCTTTTAAGAATGTATGCCTTATCTTAGACACCTTTCTATACAGTGGGTTTTTTTTAACAGAGCAAGGAAATTTCCATTCAAGAGGACTTCTGTTGCAATAGTAAGCAAAGGAGCAAATTTCTAGCTGCCTATCAGGAAAATAAGACCACTTGAAAAGTCAGACAGATAAGAAAAGAATCAAGCTCCTTTTCAAGATTAGGGAAACTACCATCTCAGCATTCCACACTTCCTGATACCTCACTACTTCTCTTCCTGCCTGGCTCTGTGGGGTGAAGAAATGAGTCCAAAGAGGGAACTTGCCAGTGTAAATGAGACTGTGTTTTCTCTGGTGAGTTGCAAGCAGCTACTCAGACCCTCGTCTCACACCAAACACCAAAATAAAGGCTAAACGTCTTTCTAAAAATCAACCACAGAAGCTATCATAGTCAAATTGTTATCAAACTTCTGGGTAAGAGAGGATTTTCTAAACCTAGATCGAAGAAGGCCCAAAGAGAAAAAAAACCACATTTATTATTTTACATTGTATTACATTATCTCATATTTTGTTCGAGAAAAATTAAATATTTTTCCTAAAAAATTAAAAGGAAAAAACACTGTTTTCCTTTTGGAAAAATAATTTGGTGATTATTTGCTTAATTTATTTATACTAAAAGTTTTTGGAACTCTGACCCAGGAATCCCACGTATAGGAATCCAAAATACAGAAAAATACAGAATACAGAAATACAGAAAATGAATCCAAATAGAGAAAAAGCAAATATACAGGGGTATTAATTACAACATTGTTTACAGCAAGCAAAACCTGCAAGTCTCTTACCTGCCAAGCACTGGAGAGCAATTAAGTCAACCTTACTTGAACAGCCCCCAAAACTGACATTCCGGAGCCTTCCTGGTGACATGGAGAAGGGAGGTTGGCCCAGGGCTGGGAGAACAAAGCGATCCAGATAGGTACACACAGTGAGGAGATCACAGCCCTGCAAAGACTTTTCAGATGCAAGTGTGCAGAGGCAGAGGCCAATTCTGACATGAGAGATGCTGGGACAAATATAAGACCCTCAATGTCACTAATCATTTTAATCCACCTAGAATTCATGTTAATTGGATTGCAATATTTTTTTTTTTTTTTGAGACAGGGTCTTGCTTGGTTTCCCAAGCTGGGGTGCAGTGGTGGGATCATAGCTCACTGCAGCCTTGAACTCCTGGGTACAAACAATCCTCCCACCTCAGCCTCCTGAGTAGCTGGGACTGTAGGCACGCACCATCCCGCTTGGCTAATTTTTTTTTATTTTTTGCAGAGGCAGGATCTCACTATGTGGCCCAGACTTGAAATTCATTTTTAATAAACTGGGTAGACATCTAATTTTATTTTCTTCCAGCCAGATAGGCAGTTATGCCATCACTATTAATTATGTAATTGACACTTTTCTCATTGAACTGAAATCCCACGGAGTATGAGCTCTGTTAATTTCAGAAAAGAGGAAAATTTACATTTAACACAGTAAAATGACAAGAATTATGACGAAAAATAGATTAAAATCTACACTCTGTTGAAATGTTTTCTTGTGAACTCAAAACCTAAAGAAATAAAAAATAAGGACAGTCGTGGTGGCTCACCCCTATAATCCTAGCAATTTGGGAGCTCAAGGTGGGAGGATCGCTTGAGCCCAGGAGTTCAAGACCAGCCTGGGCAACAAAGGGAGACCCCACTTTTACAAAAAACAAAAAAAAACCATTAGCCAGGTGTGGTGGTATATGCTTGTAGTCCCAGCTTCTCGGGAGGCTGAGGTAGGAGGATCACTTGAACCTAGGAGGTCGAGGCTGCAGTGAGCTGTTGTCTTGCCCGAGATTGTGCCACTGCACTCCAGCCTGGGCGACAGAGTGAAAAAAAAAAAAAAAAGAAAGAAAAAGAAAAAGAAAAAAAAGAAAAGAAAATGTTGATCATCTTTGATTCTGGATGGTGGCATGGGGCCTTAGTGCTCAAAGTGTGGTGGCCTCAGTAGTGTCTGGGAGCTTACAAGACATGCAGAACCTCAGAACTAGAGCCTGTATTATAACCCAGTCCCCAGGTGACTCCTAGGCACACTAACATTTAAGCAGTTCTGTGAATGGATGAAGACAGGAGGG